AGTCCGCGTTTTACTAGTCAGCGTTTTACTAGTCCGCGTTTTACTAGTCCGCGTTTTATTTGTCCGCGTTTTACTAGTCAGCGTTTTACTAGTCCGCGTTTTACTAGTCCACGTTTTACTAGTCCGCGTTTTACTAGTCAGCGTTTTACTAGTCATCGTAGTCCGCGTTTTACTAGTCCGCGCTTTTTTAGTCCTCGTTTTACTGGTCTGCGTTTTACTAGTCCGCGTTTTACTAGTCCAGTCCAGTCCAGTCCAGTCCGCGAAATACCATATGCCGTTCAACAGTCGTTTCGCATCTGTTGGGGACATAGTTGTAGTCAGTCTATGAAATTGGCAATTTTTTTGACAGAAAAGCAGCCCAGAAATATAAAAGGAATGAGTGCAAAATTACAAATCTAAACCAGATGGACAAAACAAATGGAAAAAAAAGTCAAAATAAAATGTAAAAAGTCCTCGTTGCAAATGGCAGGAATAAAAGCTGTTCAACAACATCTGATGGATCTCTAGATTCACTCGAAATAGAAGGGTTTTTGTTGCTGCTCGGCGAGAAGCACTCGCGATATCGACGCAATATCTATTGAAGCCATATTTTAGACGGCTTTCCTAAATTTTTAAGAGAAAAATGTCGATCTGGACTCCTTCCCCTTCAAATTCGCACAGCTGCCAATTTTCCCATTTTTTCCACAACAGTGGATAACCGTTTTATAAACTAATCACAACCGTGTAAATGTCTTTGAACTTAAACAAAGCCTTTGCAACTCAAAGTCCGAACTTCGTGACCAGGGCTAACAATCCCCCTTAGATTTCTTTTGTCCGTTCTAAACCCTCTTGGTCGGCTGTCTTCTGTAGTAGGTGGCCTCCATACGGGAAAGGGCTCTGACCTCAATCCTCTTTTTCTCACAATTTGAGCTGGGCCAAGGCCCACGGAAGGGTCAATCTGATGTTGTAACCCGGCATGATACTTTGCTGATGGCGGTTTCTTCAAGCTCTCTGTCTTTCGCGTTGTGAAGTTCAAAGTATGAGCGGTGGCTTTCAAAAATACGAGGTCACAATACCAACTCATCATTGTCATCGGGTAAAATTGGATAAGAAGACTTTAATAGGAATATGGTGAACAGAACGCCCGAGGGATTTAAAAGAGATATTGGTGCTGAAGGTTTCTTTGAATGGAACAAACTTAATTATTTTTTTACAATTATTACTTTAGGTTAGCTTAAACAGAAAGTCTGTGAGGGTCTTTTTTGGTCTCGATGCCACATCACAAAATTCAGTCATACAAATTTCGACCCATGCTCTTTTTTTTTAACTTACTGTTGGAACGTTGGGTCAAAAACTAATTAATCAGAGTAAAATTACAGAACGTCTTTAAGTGTTTTCCACTGAATCGTAACCGATACGAACCAATTAAGATGTCAATATCTGCAATAGTAATCATGCGTAACCGCTATAGTCACGATTGATTGTTGTTGTAAGTTAACGCTTCAAGCTTCTTTTGTAAATTGACAGCTCTTGAGCGAGAGGGCACAATAGCAGCAAGCATTGATATTGGAATCGCCCATCATCACAGCGGAGCACGTCTCACTATTTCATATTTGCTTCAATTTTTCTTCAAAGAGGGAAGGCTTAAATATCCCTTGGGATTGCTAAAGAAAGGAAGAGTTGTACATTTTTCAGCGCATTCCGTGTGCATTCATTACGAAAGCAAAGGGAGTAAGCTTGCCGGCGGTCAGCATAAATTTCTGCCGCACGTTCTCTATCAACGCTTAAACTGAGAAGTACATAACTAGTACTTACTTCCTTTAGTGTTAAGGACAAAATGTTTCGGTGTCATGTGTTCCTGTGTCTTGCTTTTATTACTTTTCTGCTGTTTTCCCCCGAGAAGAGTCAAATTCAAGCAAAATGTTCATCACAGTCAAAAGGCCAATTGTGTCGACATGGGGCGAAGATGTGTCCGGCCTGCATCAAAGTTTCGTGGTTTATTCGACCACCTTATACTTTACAAAAACAAAACACTGTTGGCATATTACCAGGTAACGTAGACCGAGAGGCATTCTAGTGAGCAAACGTTACAACATACTATAAATTACTGCGTTTGACAACTACTACCGGCTCCATACAAATGACTCATTAATGGTTCATTAACAAGTGAGTTGGTGTGTTATACTGTCTAGAGTAATATGAGATCATGGGGACGAGAGTTGACAACTTGAGAGAGACGAGAGACTGAAACTTGTTTAGGAATAACTTTTGATAAGAGCCATTCATTTTCGGATGAGCAGTCAAGAAAAATTGAATTTTCTATATCTTGTACTTTGTTCCCAATTAGCTCTGGTAAACCTCATGTTAAACAAATGTTGTGGAAACCTCACCTCAAGCTGTTGGCAAGTGATCCACCGTTCCCCAGAAACAGATCCCGAACAGCTGCTAAGCACAGTGAAGGACTCTCACATTATATACCCAGTGTTAGTGGACAAGCAGGACATGGCAAGCGAGAACCGTCACTTGATTGGTCTCGTCCCCCCTGGTAGCATAGCTTTCATTGTTCCTAAAGGAGAGCCGGATAGTTATCCAAAGAAGCTATTGATGGCAGTATTCGAAGCTTGGCCGGTGTTGATAGTAACAATTCTCCTATCAATTTTGGCGGGAGCTTTTCTGTGGCTTTTGGTGAGTGATGATCTTTTATTTCCTTTTTTCTTTTTGCTTGAAGGGGGGTCAGGGATTCTGAGATCAGTTGACAGAATTAATCAAGTGGAAAAGTGTTTCGCACCGACAGCCTGGAAGATTGTGAATATTTACTTTCGCTCGAACGTCTTGAATTATTTATTTCACACGATTGTTGAGTGCTGATTCTTAAAAGAAAATTGTATTAATTTCGTCGGTTATGTGGATCTGTCCAGATCATTGCTGGCCGGAGGCAGACCTAACTTGTATACCGACAGGTCGGTTTCTTGATTATATTTTCCTTGGGAATCTTGACAGCTGTTCTGAATGTCATTGTTGGAACTCTCTGACTTTGATCAGTCAATTTTTCACGTTATAGTCAGTCGGAGGGGGGAGGGGGTGGGCGCGAGGCGTTTATGCGCTGAGCAAGACTAAATTGGTGCGGGTTGAAACGACCAAAGAACGGAAGTCAAACCGCTCTACTGCTGTCACTAGTTTTCGCCGCCAGCCTTTTCGCAATTCTTTCAGTTCGTGCTAGTGCTTTCGATCAAAATGTGCAAAAAATTTATTTTGTGAAGAAGAAAAGGTATTGAAATGAAGAGACAGTTCCTCGTTAAGTGCCCTCGAATGTTTGCTACTGACGAAAATTTGACAACTTTACATTATTTCCGAAATTTTTACTTTATTCTTTCAGTGAAACGGGCAATCGCGTAAACTTTCGCATATCGGGTTTTAGAGCGGTAAGAATGCTTAAATGGAAATTCTTGGTATGATTGGAACATTGCAAACCAGAATAATTTTCAGCCGTAAATTTCAAAAGTCGAGTAATCATTAAATTGCAAAAATAAACTCTTTTTCAACCACACCGTTTCCTTTGGGCAAAAAAAATATCTTTAGGCATCATGCCGGAGCAAAGCTTACCGCCCAGAGCACAACGTAATAGTTTCATGCTCTCTCTACATCTTGATTAAGTCACTTAAACGGTCTATAACACGGCTAAGCCTTAGATGCGACACATAAGAGTTCTAACTCATGAGCTATATTTCAGGATACATGGTTTAACGAGGAACAGTTCCCTCGAACATTCTTTAGAGGATCTTGGGAAGGATTCTGGTGGGCCTTCGTCTCCATGACAACAGTGGGGTAAATGTACCAATTAGCATTTATTTATCTACAGATACTCAGCTTGTCTTTATACCCATTAGGAAACCTCAATAACCTCAGGTAGATAATGTGTTTTCGGCCTCCAATGTTAATCTTAGAGACAGCATCAACCAACTATTTATCAATGAAGTATAGAACCCTCCATATATGACTGATATTAAGGCTGATAGTTTCGAAACAAACTGTTTGGGGCTGCGTCGGTGGAGGTAACGAAATAATTTGGATATATCAACAAAGTTGAAATGATAAATTGGCCGCCGTAACGTAGCTCCATTTTCTGCCTTTAAAAGCACACACAACCCACAATTCCTCTATTCGCTCCGACGAAGGGCTAACGCTCGAAACGTCAGCTTTTGTAATCGTTACGGTGGCCAATTTACCATTTCAACTTTGTTGATATATCCAAAACATAAAAATTTGCTAATTCTGGTGATAATACCTATCAAAAATGCTGGAAGCTGATTGGCTAGGCTACTCGCTATCTATTTGGCAGATAGATTCTATATAATTGTGCTTCTATTCAATGCGCCATTGGCATTCTGGTGACACATGCTTCGTGCCTTAATATAAATTAACGCACTTGGACCAATCAGTCAGTCAGGTTTAGCCCGTGTTTAACAAAACCGCGTCCTAATCAATCTTCGAATTAGCACTGCCTTTTATTAAAACCTCTGTTTTTGCGAACAGTGTTCAGAGCGCCGAAAGCTAACAGTAGAGGGACATTTATTTAATTAAATCAACCCTCTCATAGAGAGTACCTGAGGCCCAATGATGTGCAAAACCGCGGTTTAGCTTATACCTCAGGTAAATGATCGGCCCATACATTCCTGCATGCACAGGACGGCTAGAAATGGCCAACTTGGAGGTAACGAAAAATACAAAAATAAAAGGCAGTCTATGACTGCATGTGCT